GTTGAAAAGCAACTAGTCACTATTCAATAGAAAGCACTGCCAAAGGGTTAATCTTTCAGAGAAAACTTACAATATGATTGCTAGGTGTTTGAAGTTGTTCAATAAAGAAGTGGAAATAAAACAGCAAAATGTAACTATGAAATAAAGAAATAGAATAGTGCATTATTAGAGATATATAATAACTAGTATAAAATAATTAGCTTAGTAATTAATTGACTATAATAGCTCTATATCCACTGTTGATTCAACTGAGAAATTAATTCTATTAATCAATGAGCTCTTTTATGGTATAAATTGTTGGTTTTTATCGTTTATTGATCGCAAATCAGAATTCCACAATCAGAGCTGTTTGATCGAAATGAAATGAACATAGTTTTACATCGTCCTTTTCTGAAGCTGAAAGGGTTAATGAAGACAGGCTACACCATACACCATGTTGTGTGCAATAATTGAAATTTTGCCAAGACAGTGAAATTACCCTGCTTTTTTTGCAATTTCCAACTGTCGAAGGATCTTAATCTGTACAGCCTGACGCACTGGGGCCTCTATTTATTGTCCCAGCTGCTGCTTCAACCTGCATCACTGAACTGGGTTGAAAAATCTGAATGTATTCTCTATCTCAACCTATACTGGAATTCCAATCTATGATATCCCTTATTATGTTAGTCTCTCTTTACCTGTGTATCATTAAAATATTTAAAATTATTTGGTTTGTATAAACCAGGGTTGGTACTATACTCTTAACACTCCAGACCCTACCACACCATCAAAGTCTGCAATTGTGCCAAAAATGTACAAATGCCAAATTTGGCACACTATATTTGGCCGGGTTAACAAGAAAAACTGACAATAACAGTTTAATATATATTTTTGCTTGTATTTTCAATGATGTCCTGTCTACAAAATAGTGTTGTGTGTTATAGAAGATATTCTCCTATAGAAGCATTGGCCAAGGTCAGTCTAAAACTTGTCTTTAGTAATTTCAAAGAGTAAATCTCCACTCCCAGTTGATACAGAGGAATGCTTCAATCAACTGTCAATTACAATATTATATTTAGCAACAATCTGACGTCAAGTAGTTCTACCATAGAAAAGAGAAGCTAGGTCATATCATGCAGACGGACTTGTAGCTAAACAAACATATAGAATATCAATACCATATAACATAGAAATATAGTGCGATTATCAGGAGTAATTGATATTTACTATAAATGGAATTACTTTATTGATAACCTGATTTAGTCAATGACTAAAATAGTATTTATATACTTAAAATACCATCAACAGTTTACTTTATAATTACTTAATAGTCAAACCTCTGATCCATAGTTCCCATTTGTTGTTTTATTGTAATTCAGAGATGGAATCGGAAATCTGTTATATGTTAATTAATGGGTTAAAATGCAGAAGGCCTGTTCTTCTTCCTCTTTTTGGCGGATAAGAGACTCTCTCAAGAGGTCATAACTTACATTAGAAATTCTTCCATCAATTTTCATAAATTCAAATTTCTAAAACAGAGCTGTTGGGTTCAATCTATCATCATAAACAATTCTTTGTCTTGTCTGTTATCAAGTACAGCTCTTTTTAATCTGTTATCATAAGTAGCTCTTTCTAATGTGTTTTCATAAATAGCTTTCTATTCTGTTACCATAAAATAGCCATATCTTATTCAAAAATATCTCTTTCTATTCTGTTATCAAATATAGTTTTTCTAATCTATATCAAAAATAGCTCTTTCGAAAGGACTGAAATAAATATCAGCTTTTTCTATTCTGTTATCAACTACAATCAGGCTTTTATCAGATTACATCATATACATTGACAGTTAGTGATTTATTGGAGATTCTTTTTCAGCCAAGCCTAAATTTTTCTATAAAAGTTGAATTCAAGCAAAGCTGGTAGATTTCCCTGTGATTTTAATAGTAAAACTGTAGATGTAATTTCACAGGATGTTTCTATATAGTTGGACTAAAATAGTGGCCACCCACCAGTAAGAATCAATCATAAGAATCAATGTGTTATTGATCACAATAATGATTCATTATAAAATACCTCTCTTGTTGATTTCTTTCAACTTAAATGTTAAATGATATTTATAAAGCTACATTGTCTGTAGATACAATTTAATCATTATTATTTTTAAAACGACAGAATATCTCTGAGAGATAAAAACTGATGTCAAACATCAATGTATAATCAACAATAATTATTTATTGACCTTTTTTACTTCAAACTACATTTGAACCATAAAGTTCATTCCTGATATTCTATAATCAAGGCCCATTGTAGTGATGAGAAATGAGACTGATATGGAAAAAAATTATAACTTTTGGTTTCCAAAAAGTTTTAAATTGATGTCATTGACAATAAAATTTCTCTCATTCTGATCATTGAGTGCTGCCATTGCGTCAAGTACAGTGCTTGTACGAAAGGATGTCATGGTATTTAAGTGCAAATTTCCCTCGTTGCACACCACAATGTTGTTGAATGTTGAAAAAGCAGGACATAAGATTTCGATTTTTTTCATTCAATCAATTCGGAAACATGGTGAGGTATTATAAAGTAATTAAGTCTTGTACAACCGGTAATAGACTTGACAACTCAGTGGAGTTTCTCTTTAAGTCAATAACATGAGGTAATACAGGGAAGATTAAAGCAGCAATTCTAATTGATCATAGTCAGTCATAGTGTTTGATTCATTGATTGTTTCCATGTACACAATCTCTAGTTTACCCTCCTAGTACTTTTCTGTCATGTCTAGTGTACAAATCTAATATTAGATACTAAACACCTACATGGCAATAGAACTTAAAGAAGTTTTAATATAAAAAAAAGTTTTGAACTGATTGCATTCTGTAAAAAAAATAATATGAAACAATAATGAAAACATCAATGAAACTTTTGAGGGATAAAAAAGAAAAAAGTAGGAGCAAAATTGATTATATATGTTTTTCAGAGAACTTAGTCTGTAAGAGGATAAGTAATTTAATTCTTGGATCATCACCGACACTAACGTATACTTAAACAGAGGCTATTTTCAACAGGACATTTTAGATAGACAAAGTTTTTTTCTAGCTCAGTTGTAAAACCATTATATATTTTCATGTTATTTCTGCATTCCACCAGTAATGTACGATACTAAAGACCTTAAATTATCAAATATTTAGAGGATATGTTACAATCAGTAATTAAAGAATTAATACCACTAATCACTAATACAGTAGATTAATGACATAACAATAGAGAGTACTCTACCATTAATAGGGTCATATTGACATAGTTACAGTACCCTACCTTTACAGGTATTCAAAAAAACTTCATACTCTTTTTAAGAAAAAAATCATGGTTTTCCTCTCTATGTTAAGGTTCTTAATCTTCGATTCAAATTTCCACAAAAACTTGACCAAATGTCACTATCACATATACTAAATGGCTTGAAATATACCTCAGTATACATGTACATTTAAAGGCAATGGGCACTTTTGAAACAGTGGTATCAATTTCTGTAAAGTTTTCTGGACCCGCAAGAACCATAGATATTAGGGTAGAAAATAGAAATTCAAAATAGGAACTGTTGTCTGAGCAAATTAAAAAGTTTTTTGTATTTTTTCGACATTTTTTAAGAGAATTGGAATATCTGCCTCACAATAGTAAGTACTAATAGTCTTAAAATGTATTTGTGTTGATACAAATATGCTCTTTTGTAAGTTTCCCTCCAATAAATTTAACCCCAAAAAGTCACAAATTTTGGCTGAAAATGGGCCTCTGTAAAAGCAAATTTTGAAGACTTTGTGCTTATGTTTATAATTTTATCAAAGCAATGACATTTCAAGTCTAACAGTACTATTTTGAGGCTGCTATTACAATTTTCATAAATATTATAAAAAAATTTCAAAAAACTTCTTACTTTGCTCAGACAATAGTTACCTGATGCACACTAAAATGCTGTAAGCATATACACTCTTATGAAGTGAATCCCTTATTTTAAAAATTTATTTATAGAAAATACAAATACGGTACTTTAGCAGGTGAACAAAACATAAGAAAAGAATCTTAACAATGACAAATTTTGTTAAACAGTTTTGCAAGGAAAATGCAAAATTCTATTCCTTTAATTGGCAATTGAGCAATTGTCATAACATGGATCATAGCCAGTTTTCATGAAAAACTGTAAGGCAAACTCTAACGTGTTTTCTTTTTGTTCCATGCATGGACAAAGACAATAAAAATGAAGAATTTATATATCATTTACAATTCTCTTTGGATTTAAAATGTCAGCGAAATAACTTTCATCAAACACAAAAAACAACAGAAAATAGTTATTAACCTAACAATTTTTTCAAAACCATTTCTTTGAAATCAAAAAGACAGGTTTAATTAATTTTGATAGTTGAAAACGAAAAGAACAGTAAAATAACATTAAGACCAAAAGAAATAATTGTAAAAAACATTTCAATCAAATATTTTTACTAACATGCTAATAACTGTTCAAAGGATAGGTGCACCATTTTTTGACCAATCATACCTTATTTTCAGAAATGGAAATTTCTTAAGCCAATCAGTTCACAGCTCACCATGGAAATTTGTGTCTTCAAATCTCCATGTGTCCAGAATTATTTGTAGTTGAAAGTCAAAAGACGGGTCGTCTTTTCTTGACACACTGTCATATATAGAAAAGACATTCATAGTTTCAGATATTTTTGAAGGCATTTTGAGATTTGCGTACATTTCTAGTACCCGTACCGTACTTCTTAATATTTACATATAATAAGCCTTAAATCAAATCAATCCGCCAAAACGGCGCATCAATCCCTTCAAAATAAAAGCACTTAGTCAAGTTGTTTTTAATACTAGTAGGCCCTACAATATTTTGAGTAGGCATGAATTGATTATTGGACAAAATAATTTCTAAATTATGAGTTATGACTCAATGAAAATTGCAATATGATACATAAGCTTATGCCCAATTGATATGCTTAATTTTAAAAACTTATTGTGACTAATACCTAAACTAATTCAAGTTTGATGATATTTTTGAAAATATTAAGACCAGGAATATTCATAGTAAACTTACTGAAGTTATTGACAGTGATCGTTAAGCATTTATCTCAATTGTTACCGTACCTTTCATCGTTAAATTAAGTCCCTTTAAAGTTTAAAGTAAGCTTACTAAAAGTCTTCAAATCAGAATAAAAGAACATTGACATAATATCCATAAAAACTGGTGATTCACACATTTAATTCTGCCACGATATGAATATCAGATTTAAAGAAATAGACTAGTCTAGTTAAAAAAGGAAGTTGGAATGTTGGCAATTTACCTGTTCAAATCTAGCTCTTTCTTGTGCCTTTTCATTTTTCTCTGCCTCTAATTTATCTACAACAGATCTCAGTTCTGTTATTTCATCATTTTCTTTCTCATATTTAGTAGCTAAATTTTCTAATTGTTCTAAAGTCCTTATGACTTTTGGCATAAGATCAGTGATAGACTCATTTCCATAATTTGTTATCAACTTGTCAAATTCTTGGGCAATTCCCGCAGCTTGATCATACACGTCTGTCACTGAAATAGTCACTAATTCTTCGGAGGCCATCATCCTTCTTCTACAAGCAAACGGATCCATTGATGATGTTCAAACAAACATCCATGACACCTTCCACACTAGACTACATAATTTACAGTCATAAAATAATCAATTCGGTTTTCAGTCACGAGCCCTGCCCACTTTCAATCAATATTTACTTCGGAGGTTAACTTCCGGAAATAATAAATGCAAAAAAAATAAATAAATGAAAGTAAATTTCATCTAATGAATAAATTGTCAATTAACATTATTTTGAAAAGCTGTTGACTTTATCGGTTGACTTATCGAATTCTTTCCACAAAATCTTAATTCGGAATTATGACCATTAAAGTACCTATATGTCAATATATAGTTAGAACTCTGTTCATTTAGAAATATTCTTGTCACTAAAATCAGTCATTGACAGGATTTTCAAAATGTCTAATGTTTACAGTATCCATGGTATATCCTAATCCTTTCAATCACTGTGATTTATGTCTAATGACATGTAACGAAGAAAATTAATCTGCCACCGTGTGCCTTTAATACACCGGAAGCAAGTGCCCGTTGATTTGCTCCGTGACTTATTTCTCATGCGCAGTCTTTATTTACGTGGCACCGGTGAAAGCTGACGACGAATTCTTCTTGGAAACGTGGAAAATAAAGTCTTAAAAATGAATTTATTGGGAGTATTTTTGCGAGTTTTCGTTTCTTTAATACTTATTTCATCTATAAACTGTTATTTCATTCAAATTGATGCTCATGCAGAGGAATGTTTCTTTGATAAAGTAACATCCGGTACCAAAATGTCTCTGTCTTTCGAAGTTGCAGAAGGGGGATTCCTGGATATTGATGTGAAGGTAGAATTATGTTTGATAGCTCTTAATACTTGTTTATTATTTCAAGTCAACCGTAAACATTTCTGTTCTACCTTGATTAATGGTTGGTTCAGGTACAATACAGACTTCCAGATGTTGGATTCTAAATATAAGACCTTGCTCAATGACAATATTGCAGTGGCAGCAGTTGTCAGATGTTGGAATCATGTGAACAATGCCATATTACTTATCAGGCATCACTTAAGAATTATTGAATAATAGTGATTACAGGTACCTCCTGTTAAATACTGTGCTGGTTGATTAGTAATTAGTATGCATGTATTTTCATTGTTATTCCCTATCTATGACGATCATGCATGTTTAGCAGACGTGGCCCAGGTTGGGCTGAAATGCAAATTTTTTTCCTGATGCTGTGTTAGCAAAGGTAAAATCCTTTAAATCACCCATTGGATGTACTTGTTTAACAAGTAGAATGATAGTAGAAACTGTATTTTGATCATTTCATTTCAGATGTATGGTCCAGATGGTAAAGTTATCCACTCAGTCGATCGAGAATCCAGTGGTAAATATACATTTGCTGCCTACATGGATGGAATTTACAAATATTGTTTTGGTAACAAAATGTCAACAATGACACCAAAAATAGTAATGTTCAGTATGGATATTGGAGAAAAACCAAAAGAGCAAGAAAATATGGAAAATGATGGTGGGTATAGTTTTTTTTTTAACCTGAATATGCTTTCCGCTTTATGGATGAATAAAAGAACTGTCAGGATCTGTAAGCTTATCCTTGTGAATATTCTCAGGTGTATTTTAAACCACTTCAACAAAAGACTCTCTGGGAAAAAGAGAATCAAAATGACACCAACTATTAAATTCAAATACATATTTCTTATGTCTAAAGGGAAATAATCAACAATGGGTTCTTTTCAATTTCAGCAAACCACAATAAACTCTCTGAAATGATAGTTGAATTATCCACAGCATTAACTGGTGTTAAACATGAACAAGAATATATGGAGCTTAGAGAAAGAACACATAGAGCTAGTAAGTAATCTTAGTTGATATCTCAAATTTCTAAATAGGGTATACATTTGAGTGCCTTTAGAACCCCTTTACACACCCTTAGCACAGCGAAAAGAGGAAATACTTCTTACAAAAGTCCTGAATGGTTCGTACAGTCGAAAGGCATATCTGAATCTGATATCTTATACAAATATCTTAAAATACTACTAGCAAGCTGTATAGATTGTCTGCCACCACCTGCTGTGGTGCTCACTTACCTAGTACCCTCAGGGGATACTAGTAGTCCAAAAAGGAGCAGAAAAGTAGGATGTATATGATAATAATTGTCATTTTCTTTCATTTCAGTTAATAACAATACAAACAGTCGTGTAGTTTTATGGTCATTTTTTGAAGCTTTAGTGTTAGTAGCTATGTCATTAGGTCAAGTTTATTACTTAAAAAGATTTTTTGAAGTACGAAGAGTTGTGTAACTATTGTTTATTGATAGATTGTAAATAATTACATACGTTTATATCTATGTTTAATAACTATTCTTTATGGACAATTTCAGTTTCATCTTGACCCTGAAGATATTGTTTAAAGGGATTGTAAATTAGTTTTCTAAAAAAAAAATTTTTATGGTCCTGCCATACTATTTGTGTGTTCAACTCATATACTGGGTAAAGATGAGAAGTAGTTATTAAACATAGAAAATCATATCATCCTATTGTATAACCTTCATCACCATTCTGGCCTTGTTGTTAAATCATCATCTAACTGATACCACATTATGGAAGGGCTCCCAGAAGGAAATCCCGCCTTTGCATATATATATATTTATATCTATTTGAACCTCTCGCAGATTTCTTGTCAGACGCTTGTGGTTTCCATAATTGGGAAGGTCACTGATACATGTACAAAGGCTAGAAAACAACGTTTTGCATGTCATATAGAAATATATCTTTTATGAACATATACAAAATTCTGAAGTTTGACCTTTTCATTGCTGTGTTAAAAACATCAAATTAATGAATTTGGTTGTAAATGCAAATTGAGGTGCGTGATCATTTTGTATGGATTGTAACTGGTGGCGCTCAATTGGTGAGTTCTGCTTGTTCCAGATTCAGGGGATTAGCCAGAAGTTTAATAAAACAATTCGTAAAAGGATTAGGAATCCCCTGCAGATGCGCCCTAAAGAGGTAAAAAATAATTCATATTTCCTGAGAAAGGAATAGAAGGGTCAATTTTGAATGTGACATATCTTTTTCTGTACCATTCGATACACGCCTATAATTGGAACGGACACAAGCTGTTCAGAACTTACCAATTGATTGTAACTATGGATAGAAATTTATGCAACTAATTTCATTTCTTATGTGTCCATTTTTTTTTCTCGAAATTTTGTCAAGAGATTTTTTCCCCCCCAAGTTATGTATGACTGTGTACTTGATGTTGTTGATTTTTCTTTGATGTCTCTTTCATAGGATGTTGATATTTCAATTATATTTAAAAAATCTTTCTGCAGACATTATTAGACAACAGAGGTCTTGGTAAAAGTAAATTTCTGTTCATAAATTAGTTGTAAATATTTTATGGAATGTTTTATTATTTGATATTTGTATAGATATTTAAGTATAAATTCGATATTGTCCATTAGAATAGTCAATAAATTTTTGTCAAAATCACTGTAACACCAAGGTTAATTTATTTTGTACAGAAATTTCATCAGTTTGTAAATACTAGAGATAACTATTTGTTTTGTTGCATATTACATGAATTTAGTGTGGGGATGGTTTCAATTGTACATCAGTGTATCTGAATGAATAAATGATCTTTTTCTTTAATATGCATTAATTTTGACTACAGATTTCCATGACAAAATTCGCTCCAATGGTAGATTCTGTTTGCATTGAAAAAAAGTCTAATGACTCAATCTTAAGACCAAAAATCTCAGTTTTTTTTTATGAGTGAGTTCACCAAAAAAATATCCAGGATATTGCCAAGTAATAATTAACACTGTTGTATACAAATTATTTTAATAACAATCTAGCGTGTAGAAAATATAGTTTCTGTTTATAATATATAACAATGAGCATCATGTATAAAATAAGTAACAATAAAGAGTATTACCTCTTTTAAAAGCACAACAAAGAGAGTGGTTCTAGGGTTGGGAGATAAATACTAGTATAGACTAACCAAGATATTTCTCTTCATGAGGGTCAATTCTAAACAAAAACGAGCAGTCCTCTTTATTTTTAGGTGGTAAAAAAAAAAACTATGCAGACTAAACTTATATTGTGTTGATAATTACTAAAACCACCACCTGTTTTTGTTTTGTATTAATGACCCATTGAGCAAAAGAACCTTTGCTTGACTATATCACGATCAATACCAGTATTGGAATAATTCACATAAACCAAAATTGCCCAGTCCCAAGTGATCATAGAATAAGATTTTATCCACCAATAATCAATATAAGTAGTATGATATTTCTCAATGTAAAATTCCACACTTGAGACACATTCTTATATTACTTTAAAGGTAAAGATACTTAAGTGATTATATATTACGTTGCATTACCTTAGTGAAAAACAATTCTATATCATAAAAATCAGATTTCCTTCTCTAAAATGTACTAATAAGTATGACAATATTATTTACTCAATAGAGTGAATTTTTGCAAGAGTTTCTTGTGATTACAAGATTTGTAAGTTTATAAGGTGCCAAGGTCAATATCTTGTATTTCATTGCAAAGTCACAATAGTCACATAAAAACAAATTGTTAATTCACAACCTTAATAACCAAAATCATAAATTTTAAGAAAACCCTATCAACATCTTAAAAATTTTGAAAACTCTACTTTACGAGCAGATCTAATTCAAGAGATTCAAATTGGTATAAAATTTTGTGATTATGAGTTTTGTAAGATTACAAAGTGCCAAAATAAATTTCTTGTATTTCAGTTTTTCTAATCTCAATAGTCACAGAACATAACAAATTGCTAATTTTACAAAATGAAACAAATTTAAGAAACTCAACTTTCAGCAAGCAGACCTTCTAGTTCAAGAGATTCAAATAAGTCAACATTTTTGTGATCATGAGATTTTCAAGATTTTCAAATTTTTTCTAGTCTCATTAGTTACACAATAAACTGATATCTCACCATTTAAATTTAAGGAAACTCTATATGGCAGGAAGATATTCAAGTTACAGAGATAGAAACTAGTTAAAAAAAATATTGATTGAGATCAAGAAAGAAAAATATCTGTGGAATCTAAATTCCTACTTTAGGGCTGTAGGAAGACAAAACTCCATTCATTTCATTTCAAACTGATGGCTAAGTTTTGCCCAATATTAACAGTTAAAGGGATTGTAAAGAATTTTTCTAAAATTTCTATGTGTATCAAGGTCACGAATAACATTAATTTGCAGTTCGACTAAAACTGTTTTATGACGTCACTATTTGCAAATAGTGCATTATCACATAAGGACTACACGATTAGCGATGTCATAATTTAGTGTAAGTGGATTTGCAGGAAAAACAGGCGTCCAGTTGTAAATTGGAATGGTGCCAATCAATGCTGTCAATGTCCCAGATATAAATAAGAAATTTAGAAACCCTCTTTACAATCTCTCCAAGTTAAAATCAATAATGATTCAAGTACTTAAATGTAACCTTACATATACAGCTGACTTCACACACACACACACACACACACACACAATATATTCTTAAGTTACGATATGTTATGTTATATAGCTGTACCTCTTTAAAGTATTGCAAAGTTACAACTTAGTTGCAAAAAATTATGTACACTATCTATATAATCAAAAACTTTAAACTTGAGTAACAACATGTTTCAGGTTCTGTTCAAATACTACTCGTATAAAATAACAATAAAAAAGTAGACTTGCTATTCAAATTTCAGAAAACAACATCTTACATCCAAATTAAATTTTTTCTATAAATTTTGCATGAATAGAGGAATACATAAAAAAAATATGCTAGTCCTTGGCTATATGTTTGTTGCACATTTTAAAATTCATAACAGTAATTGCACTTAAATTGGTCTGTATGATAAGATCCACTTTGTATTTATTTATATTTATAGAATGAAATCAGGAGTAAGGATTGAGAATTTTTCTGAAAATGAGCACCTAATTTGACCATAATTGAAAGAAACATGGTATATATATATATACGAATAAGGAAGCACAAAGCTATCAAGTTGTCTCGGTATGATCATCCAAGCAGACATTTGAGCTGGCCTGCCAGTCATGTTTGGCAAAGAGAGGCAAATCAACAGCCATGTAGCGCAAAGTCTAAATTCTTGGAAAGCTGCACAAATAATAATCATTAATCTCAACTATTTTGATCAATATCACCTTTCTTTAGATTTTTCTTCAATATCGGAATCTAGTTCTGATATACCACCATTTTTATTCACTTCAAATGATACTGATTGCTGAAAAGATAAATTACCAATGAATGCTGTACCAACTGCAGTACTGAGCCACTACGGCTCAGTGAATTAAATGTTTGCTTGCTAACCTGTAAGTTCAGGGTTAAATCCTGCTTGGATTGAGATACCACCTTCAGATTTTACAATCTGGTTTTCTTTGTGATGAAGGTAGGAAGAGCAGACTAGGAAAAACTTATCAGATGAGACATTTAACTGAGGTACTTATGCTAGAGGCTGTGCATGTTAATGTTTCCTTAACAAACTGATGTTGCCTGTCTTCATTAGCCCAAAATAAACAATTGAAGATTACTTACAGGTAAACCACGACCTTTAGTTTCAATAGGTAAAAATAAGGCTGATATACCACAGAAAAAACACACACAACCATAAACCCATGTAGCATCTACTACCGAATGTTGTAATAATACCTATATCAAAGATCATTTTAAAGTGTGTCTAAAATCAATTGACAAATACTCGTCTTATGCTGCCCAAATGTGTTTTAGATGGTGCTGATTATTGCCAATCATGCCACAGTATGGGTTAAAGACAAAAAGAACAAATATTTCTTCAAAGTTTCAATGATTTTAACAACTGTGTATAGCTTACTTGTGTCTAAACAGTTGTAATAATCACTGAATCTTTTAAGAAATTAATCGGAACAAACATTAATTTTTGTTGAGAATACTATTCTAATCTCAGTCTAACATAATTAGTAATTAGTTGACAATAAATTGTAGTCAAAAATACCATCACATTAATTCACAAATGTAACTTTGATTTCTTCTGCATTTTTGTCTAGTATTCCTAGTAACATAAAGCATAGATACATGATCAAATGATAAGTTACATATTTATTGACATGTTGTATCATATGTAACTCTGGAAATACAACTGGAAAACAGAAAATTGTGTGAAAATTCATAAGACAAGAAAATGATCCTTTTACCTGAGCAACAAAAGGTGTAATCATAGCACCAACTCTAGCCCATGATGATGATGTTCCCATTCCTAATGTTCTCACTGACGTAGGATACACCTAAAATTATAAGAAACTGAAAGTGGGAGTTCATGCCAAGCAGGGCTGCTGATTTATTTTTTGTTAACCGGACGATTTTCAACAACCTGTGAAATCTGATTATGAGAAGGTCTTATAGTAGTAATTTATTATACACTGGCATTACTGGTACTGACATGTAACTTATACTTGACATTCAGAGGATATTGACCATCGGTCATTTGAGCTCCCTTAAGCTGATCTTACTTACCTCAGATGTATAAATATAAACCCAAGAGAAAGTGGCTGAAGCAAAACCACGCACAGCAAACATAATACATGTTAAAATCCATCTTTTAGTATGTATTTGCATTAACACAAAAAATAAACCTGAACCACACATGTTGACCATACCAGTTACTTTTCTACCACATTTATCTATTAATATCATATTTATTGGCAAGCCTAAAAAAACATCAAAAATAACTTTAAGGTGTGGGTACACAAGCATTAAACAAATTTGATAATTGTCTCTCTGATAGTATTATCGTCTGAAAGACAAACCGTCATCATCAAATCAGATTCATTTTCCTTTCAAGTGCATAATCGGCACATGATTATCGACAGGTGAAAAACGACCAACTCCATATTTTTATCAACTCATGTGTCCATGCCAGTCTGCACCTGACAAGACTCTAGTTGGCGACAAAAATCCAGTTAGGTAAACTTGGGTATGTCAAGAGCAACTCTAATCTTTAAGTTGTGTCATTACAACATAATAATAGGCTTATCCCTCACAATAGAGCTCAGGATCAATACTGAACAATACTCACATAAAAATTCCCCTAATGTAGAAATAATCATAGTAATATAATCATCATGAGTTAATAAGGCACATTTACATTTTGTAGAACCTATAAAATATGACAATATTATACATTACATTACTATAATATGTACTGAGTACTGGAAGAATTGATCAATAGAGTTTCAAAATAATATTTATTAATATAAGAATTTGGGCAACGGTTACGTTACACTCATTGTGTTTGAGAGAATTTACACCAATAGATATGAATCCATGTTAATCTATTTCATCTCATAGAACTGCTTTTATCAATATAAATTGTTGAGAAACAAATTGCACACATTTAAATTTTCTTACTTATCTATGACACCATATATATATATATCATTTATCGTATTCTGTGTTTTTATTCTTAAATGATTCTATTGGAACTATTGAAAATAAGGTCTAAATTTGGGTTGCCAAAATGATTACCGAAAAGTCAAAAAACCCATGACTTTCTAGATAAAAATGCCAAAACTTACCTTTAGTTTCATTTCTTAGTAATTCAGCACTAGCTAGTACCATTCCATAATACGTAAACGCTGCACAGAACCATAATAACCATAGGTGTAATGTAGTACGTAAATAATCGGGTGAAAATATATCAGAGAATCTTCCTAATTGAACCTGTAATGTTATCAAATAACCATTTACTACTAACAAACATATTTTATGATAATTATTAGAAATTATTGTTGGCGCTAATTGAAGAGCTCTGAACAGGCTCAGTTCCAATTCTGCCCTCAATTGAACAGTAAGGAAGCAGAATATGTCACATTCAAAATGTTTTATTTCCTTCTGCAGGCGCCATTTTGAATTCTGTCTGCACCTACTACTTTTCTGGATTATGTCCCAACTTGCTTTATTGATTGTTCTGCTGATTCCATAAATACCGAAATTGTAATTTGTTTGAAATGGAAGAAAATTAAATGTAACTCATGCTGCGTTTGATACCTGCTGTGTAAATAGGCTTTGAACGTCACCATCAACAAAGAAGAGCCACATTCAAAGTTCCTACCATTTTTACATGAGGTCAAAATGACCTTTTGACTCAGTTAACACAGAACAAGGTATAATTCAGACACATTCTTCCCAGATTTAACTTCTAAAAAATACAAAAAGTTTTGAAGACTTACTTCTGGTGATTTCACAAGATGTCCTTTAGGTAAGGAAGTTTTGTTTTCTTTTGCAATTTTTTCTAAAACTTTAGTAGCCTCTTCTGTTTGACCTGCTGCCATTAAATATCTAGCAGACTCTGGTACAGTCTAGAACAAAAGAATGAATTAATTAGACATTGAGTAAAGAT